AAAATATTTCAACTTTTTTGGAAAGTAATATTACACACTTTTGTATTGTTTTATTGTCAAAAAAATCCAAGAAGGAGCCAGAGAACTTCCAAGAAGCTGTCCTGAGTGATTGCAAGGACAAACGAAACAATATGAAATCCAGGGGGAGTGGACTATTCTTGTCTAACAGCAGTTGACATCTGAAGCAAGGAACTAGAAAAAGAGGAAATTCCTGAGGAAAGGAAGAGATTTAAGAACTTATAGGGTAAAATCATTGACACTTTCATAGACAGCATCATGCAGATTCACACAGCTGAGCTATAACTGTGAATTTAGAGTATTTCATTTCAGATTATTTATACATTTGAGAATCAAGAGTTTATTAGTAAAACAGAAAGCATTAAGTACTGAGATCATTTTTTTGAAAATTAACTACTTAATATAGCTCATATACTTTCTTAATTGTAAAATAAAATTCAGGTGTAAGTGCAATAATGCAAATCAAAGTCATAATATGATTTAAGATATTCTTTAAAACTATTAGTAATATATAAGAAACCAAGATAGTAGCATGTGATCATTTTTGCCTTTCAATGTATTAATTCAAAAGCATGAAAAAGTAAGGAAAATATTTAAGCATTTTAGGCTATACAAGCAAAAGGATTTCTAGCCTGGCTTAGCGAAATGTTTGTTTTAATAACTAGGAAAAGGTGTATGAGGGAGGAAGCTTAAGTCTCAGGGTCTTCTTGAAATTATATTTCTGTAATTGTACCACAAAGGATTGCCAAATGCAGAAGAAAATGACATAAAGGTCAAAGTGCTCTTTCAAAAAAGAAAGTGGGAGGCCCATTCTAGGTAACATTGTAACATCTTATAATGCTGTCACAGTATAAATGATGTAATTAAATTCTACAACAAAGGGATAGTGATGTAGAACCACACACATGGATACACTGAACATATAGACACAGGTGAGCATAAAAAATATTAGGACTATACAATAGAGTTAGTCATCAAATTTTTTTCATTAATAATATCCAATCCTAAAGATGATATAAATAAGTGATAAAGAAAACTTTGGTAACAAATTGTAGGCAGATATTTACTAATCTAATTTATTTATGAAATGATTCTAAGCAACTTGGAAACTTGAATATTAAAGTCAACATAATGAGTCTTCACAAATGTAATGTTATCTTCATGACTAGTATCAGAAAAATAATTTTACTATGTGCATTAAGTTTTCTCAGTAATGTTTGTTAACAGAAAAGGTATACATCCATGTAGATAACTGTTTCATATAAAAAGATCTCTAAAAACTATGGTGATAACAAAAAAGATAAGTCAAAGATGATTATAAGATATGTTCTAACATGTGAAAAATAGTATTGATTGATTATAACCTTTAATATATGAGTGTCTCTGTAATTGTACTTCATTATTAAGGTAAAAAGAAAATTATAGGAATTTATAATAAATTTTTCATATTGGTTGCCTGCTGTTCCTGTAGAAGAATATTTATTGTGGGAAGCCCTGTAATTGGCTGCCACCTTATATCTGCAGGCCGCACCACCTTAACACCCTCTAGGAGCTAAGTTTGGTAGGTAAGCAGCTCCTTGCCTAGCCTGTTTGGTCCATTCAATGATTATGTTAATCAGCCCACACGTGGGAAATTTGAAAATTTGAATTAACCTATAACCCTCAGTCTTGCCACTATTGCTAAGTTACCTGATGATGTCTCAGAACCCAACTCCCTCCTCTCCCAAAACCCTATACATTTGTAACTTTTTCCTTGAATAAACAAGACTTGATCGGATTTCTGACTGGTCTCCATTCTTTGCTTCTCTTGTCCCCTTTCATCCCCACTCGCCCTCTAGGGTCTCTGTGGAATTACCTGCAGGTGGGGACAAGTTATTATATCAAATGATAAGATTTTAAAATTCTTTTATTTTCTGTACTGTTTAAAGTACATGTTAAAGTAACAAAAGCTTGCTTAATGTAGTTTTCTCATTAGATTTACTTAAGAAAAAAGTGCATGGAGTGACATCTTTGAAGTACTAAAAGACAGAAAACAAAAATCTGTCAGGATATTTTTATTTATCTAGTGAAAGTACTCTGTAAGAGACAAAATGGTATTTTATAATAAAAAATTGTACCAATTAAAGGGGAAATAAACCAAGAAATGAGAAATACTAAAAGAAAACTTTCAATGGAACAAAAGAGATGGAAAGTTAAACACAGAACATGAACGAATAGAAGTATAATAAAAAGGTAATATGCAAAGCATTTTTCACATTTTAAAATGTTCTTTAAAACTAAGTAATAACTCAGACGAGAACAAGAAGTCAACCAGAAGCAAGTCCTCCCAGTGTGCTGGTGCCATGTGTGAGCTGCTGGTGGGAAGAGCAAGATGTCAGCCCCTTCTTGCATGTGGGCTGGGAAACAAGATAAATAAATAAATCTCTGAAACAAAAATAATGATTGTGGTATTATAAATAAAAGAATGTAAAACATAACCCTGTAACCTAACAGGATAGATAGATAAAGATGATGGTTTCACAGACATATGCTTGAGATTCTTATCTGGAAATAGTTTTACAGGTGATGGGTACTTAGAGAAAGGATTCATCTTTATTTTTTGTTCATGTTTCAACTGTGTGTTTATGAGGTGGCATGTATTTTCAGAGAGACACTTTCTCTAAACCTTCCCTAGCTAGCATAATGTGAATACCAAGCTACATATTTTAGGAAGTGTGACATGCCTACATTTCCATAAACTTCATTTAGAAACAAAATATTCCAATTCTGAAAAAGGTTTTCACCACCACAAATACCGATGACACCACACATAGCACATAATGTTACAAAATATGTAGAACAGTTTTCTAAGCAGCTGGGTCTGGATGAATTCTGAGAATAAAGCTAAATGATTACCTCACTTATAAAAGGCCCTGGACACAGTAGCAAAGCACTTTAAATTTTTTATGAAATGTAAATGAGTGCTTTTTCACTACTATCAAACTCCCCCCTACAATGGGGAAGCTTTACACCAAAAAGAAGGAAGAAGATAATGAAGGTTCTGTTTAAAAAGTAGCTCTCAGTAATGAACCAGAATGATTGCCAAATAGAAACAATTTTCCAGAAGTGAAATCGATGCATAAGAGAAGACAGTCCCCAGGGTGAGAGTGACTTTTCATATATAAGAATGGCTAGAGTTCTTAAAAGAAGCACAAAAGTGGCATTCAAGTGACATCCTGGGGAAAAGAGCTTAAAAATTTATAGGTAAACTACTAATTAGATCTTTGTAGACTGCTTGATGCAAATTTGTGAAGTTGAGCTTTTGTTAAAAATACGAGACTGTTTTCTTTAAGGATGATTCCAAATTAAAACAAAAAAGCTGAAACTCTGAGTTCTTTATCTGAAAATGGGTTAGTTTAAATGTATCATTGAGCCATTAACTTTCTTAATTATACAGCTAAATAAAATGAAGTATGTGTAATATATTACTCAACATGTTAATAATAGAAATCATTTCCATGAGATAAACTTGAAAACTAATGCTCACTGATTATAAAACTAGAAAAGACTTACTATATAATTATCACTGTATCAAGTCATAACTGTTTGGTGATTGAGGCACAGGTATAGTGAACTTGAGAAGATAGGGAAATGCATATTTTTGGAAGATTGGGGAAAAAGCATTAAGAAAATGCATTAAGAAATATTAAGAAATTGTAAAGCAGAGTAAAATAAATCATATTGGATGATTTTAACACAAAAGAGCAAAAGATTTTGTTTGATTTTAGCTTGATTTTTATTTGTTGTAAGTTTTTTTATTAGCATGTGTCTACAATACAAGCACTTTACAACCATCTTGGGGAGTGGGTACATGTGCACAATACAGCTAGATTCTTTTTAAAATCCCCTTCTCATTCTCTTGCACTTTCCTTCCTTCTTTTGTAAAACCTTTTTCTCATTTTTGTTCATTTTGATATTATTAACTGACAGTATCCTTCATTTGAGCAAGGTACACTACAAAGTACTCAATAAAATATAAATGCAGGGAGAAAAGTGTATAGATATGTCGACAATGGAAAGGGCTCTAAAAGAACACGGATGAGAGGAGAACGGCATGGCCAGGGAAATGAGTAGAATAAAGATATGCTTTGATTTTTAGTTTCATGTATATAATTTTAGCCACTGCAATTACCAGAATGTAGTACTACTGGGTGTAATCAAACTTGAACTGTAATAGGACAATATTTGACAAGGAATACAGATTAAAAGGAAATTACATAATAATGGAAACATAACAAAGGAGAAGACAGGACGTAGAAGAATAGTATGATGAATTAGGTTTTAGTTTAGTTAATATTTATCATTCCTGGGACATGAGATGGTGATAGAATAAGTTAAAATTATTCTGACTTTAATATATTTAGTATTTTGCATATGGGATGGGACATATACATACAGAAAAAAGTAATAATATACTTATTTCTTTTGTAGAAAAGAACTGGTTTAGGAAAACTTCTTCCACTAGAGTGCCAAAGGAAAAGGTAAACTCAATTTTACTAAGAATTAAAGAAAAGCTTGAAGATAACAACATTGCATTAATGAAGATGAAATACAACTATCAATACAGTGAAAAAAATAAATTCAGGTAAACAATAGAAAGAACTTGTAAACTAATTCTAATATTAAGGGCAAAAGAAGAGATGACATTGACCTATACAATGTACTCTAAGTGTTGGTAAGAATGTGAATTTCTCAACACTTTTTGGATAACATTACAGTCAGCTACAATATTAGATTTTATGTCTTGAATTAAAGTGAATTGCATACCAGCTCATTTTCTGAAGTTTCAAGTCTCATGTCATAGAAGCAGCAAGGTAAAATTCAAAATATCATGAGAGATCATGTATCTATAGACCTAATTACAATAACACAACAAGGCATTTAATTCCAAATGCAAATTAATTAACCATCCTGATTATAGCGTATCTACAGATGAAATGCAAATGAGAACAGAAATATCAAATGCTACCACACTCATGGAATTTGTTCTATTGGGATTTTCTGACGTTCCTAACCTTCGGTGGATTCTTTTCGGAATATTTTTACTCATGTATTTGACTATTCTGATGTGCAATAGCATTATAATACTAATAACAAAAGTAAACTCTACTCTTCAGGTCCCTATGTATTTTTTCCTTAGAAATTTTTCCTTTTTGGAAATTTGTTATGTAACAGTCACTATCCCAAGAATGCTCATGGATCTTTGCACCCAAAAAGGAAATATTTCCATCCTTGCCTGTGCTACACAAATGTGCTTTGTTCTCATGCTGGGGGGCACCGAGTGCCTCCTCCTGACTGCAATGGCCTATGACCGTTACGTGGCCATCTGCCACCCTCTACGCTATGCCCTCATCATGAATCACAAGTTGTGTGTGCAGCTGGTGGCCGCCTCTTGGAGCTGTGGGATTCCAGTTGTGATTGGGCAAACATGCCAGATTTTCTCTTTGCCCTTTTGTGGGTCTAACAGAATCCATCATTTCTTCTGTGACATCCCCCCAGTACTGAAGCTCGCTTGTGGGGACACATTGGAGAATGAGATCGCAGTCTATGTGGTTGCAGTAGTGTTTGTCACAGTTCCCTTTCTGTTGATCATTGTCTCCTATGGCAGAATTATCACCAACATTCTGAAAATGCCCTTGGTCAGAGGCAGGGCTAAAGCCTTCTCTACCTGCTCTTCTCACCTGACAGTTGTGGTCTTATTCTATGGTACAGCTAGTATCACTTACTTACAACCCAAACCAAGCCAATCTGAAGGCATAGTGAAACTCACCTCTCTTTTCTACACTATTTTGATCCCAACTCTGAATCCAATTATCTACACACTAAGGAACCAGGACATCATGTTTGCAGTGAAAAAGCTACTAACTAAATTTGAAACATGAAGTAAAGACTCAAAAACTCACAAATAGTTTCCTGATGTGGTTCTCACGTAGCTGCCATTGAAACATATTCAGATGTGTCTTAATAACTATATAATGTTAATTTATAATATGATTATGAAGTCATATTATGTATGGTAACCCTGGTTTTAGATAGTTTACTTAAAAACATGAGTATAGTCAGTGTAAAAATTAACACTGTGAAGATGGTTGATCTTGTTTTGGTGATCAACTTTTTTTTCATGTCTGCTGTTGATTTAAGTGCTTTTATCTGGTGCACACCCATTCCCCCAGTCAGCTGTCAATCCGTCATTCTACCCGCCCCTTCACACTCCATGCTCTGTCAAACTGCACATATGCCTGCTGCTTCATCGTCTGCCTGAGAGGGTTCTTATGCTCCACTGCAACCCTCCTCTGCCCGCAATAAACACCTTTTTTTTTCCTTTTTCTGCTCTTGCTTCTCTACCACACCGAGGAAAACTCTGACACCTGGGAATAAGGTTTGTTTAACCTTGTCATCCTTCCACCTATTTGTTAGACTTCTCTGATCCCTTATTTGGATTAAACCAGTGAAATCTTGTGTGCAGTGGATCATTCTCTTACTGCAGTGGCCAAGGACACTTGACTCTTCTAAAATAAATATTCTGTACCTTGTCTAGATAGTTATGTCATTTCATTTCTCTGAAATCTCATTGTGTATTATTGTTCTTTCATCTGCAATATTATCAGTTTAAGGTAAAATATCAGCTATCAAAGTATAGTATGTTTGGCTGGTGAGTTTTCCAGCACGTTGGTATAACCCTAGCTATTTAGATCTGAAGAAGTAGCCGACGCTGCATGCCAGCTTGGGTAACTCTGAGACCCAGGCTTAGACTAGGAACTAGATGGCAGGCTGGGAATGTGGTGCAGGGTGGAGGACATAGGGTTAGCTATCTTCTCCTGGAAAAAATAGAAGAGTAATATGCACAATCAGCTCCTGGGCTACTATCACTCTTCTACATGTTAAAAGCATTTGCACATTGATTTTGCTTCCTTGTGATTTAAAACTTAATTCATTTATCTACTGTTAATCCAACACACATTACCAATTGGACCTCAACAGGAGGGTATCTATACAAAGATTTTAGTGTGTACAGCATGTGTAAGTGGCAATAAAGAAATGTGTTTAAACTGTGTTCTGCAGACCAATTTAAATAGTGAAATGTTATAATATGCTGCAAAAAATTTTCTTAATGAGTAGAAAATCTTAAGTGTATCCAGGACCAATCAAAGTTTATATTGTCCAATTTTAAAAATCTATTGTTCAGTTGAACTGTTCACATTGAGCCAACAGCCATTTCAGTGAAAGAATATACTTTATCAAAAGAGTAGTTAAAAATCAAAAGGCAGTTAGGTTTTTAAAAATGCTAAATGTAAGCATAAAATTTTTTCCTTATATTTATTTAAAATTTTACAGACTCATAAGAGCCTTAAGACTTTGTCTTCAAACCAAGTAACAGGAGGGACGGAAAGAGGGAGAGAGACAGAGAAAGACAAAAGGAAAGAGAAAGTGAGAGAGAGAGAGAGAGAGAGAGAGAGAGAGAGAGAGAGAGAGAGAAAGAGAGAGAGAGATTAGATCAATACCATGGAATGAATATCGAAATCGCAGTATGTTGAGCAAACTGGTTTCTAATACTGAAGGAAATAGGATGGAAAAGAGATCCAGCTTTGTAGAAGTGTTATTATCTTTCATATATTTCAAATTTGAAGTTTTTATATTTAGCGAACAATGGCGATGAATACAGAAATATCATAAAGGTTGCTCATAGCAAAAAATCTTTACTTTTTTATTAAAAAAGAAAAAGCAAGAAAGAATAAAACCAATGATACAGAATTTCAACATAATAGTAAGCTAACCATAGTTGACATACTGCATATTAACTTCAAAGTAGTCAAATAATACTAAGCTAACCATAGTTGACATATTGCATATTGTTATCTTCAAAGTAGTCGCTCAGAGCACAAGCTTTAGACATAAAAAATGATCAATCAAATGATGAAAGCACAAACTGTTCTTTCTGTTAAATGAAAGATTAGTAGTATGGTAATCTATCTTGTATACACACACACACACATACTTCTTTAGAGAAAATAACATTTTTTTAAAGTGTCAATAAATGAAGCATGTACATGTAATGATGAGAAAACCTTGTTTTGCTATTTCTAAAAACCTTTGTAGAGGAGATGCAGTAGATACACTAAGAAGGGGAAAGGGCATCAAATGCATGACTTGGAATCTCAGTATTCCCCAGTGGATATTAGTTGAATCAAGTGGTAATTTGCTATCAGCAGCATTTTTGTTTTTTTCCAAAATCCGGTGGAGTCATTGGATGAGTTGTCAGGAGACCTGAATGCTACCTACAGGTGACAGTTGGCAAAAGAGTACCTGGAAGAACAAATGGGAAGGATTGTTTTGCAAGCGTGCCTTCTTAAATATGAAGATGGCATGTGTGAAAGTGACAAATGCAGAAGGAAAAAGTGAGAGAATCTTATTTAAAGAGAAGTTTTGAAAAGATGTATCTTATTATGTACATACATACTTAAATTACTCTCGTGGAGAGGAAAAAGGAACTGTATTTTAGTTTAAGAGAGTGAGCTGGATTATTTTATGCTTCTAGGACTTTTGTGCTGATATATTAAATAATTTTTTTGCCTTTTTCGTTTTTATCGGTATCAGGGATCGAACTCATGACTGCACACTTGCAAGGCAGGCGCTTATGTCACTGAGCTAAATCCCCAGCCCCAGATATTTTAAATGATTTTTAACATGCTGTAAAACTCTGAGAATCAATAATTGACATACTGAAACTAGAAAGCTTTAAGCTGAAAATTTATACACACAGCTTGCAAATTTATTTTTTACTTTCCTATCATGGATCAAACTGAAACAGAAATGATGTAGTATGTACTAGTGATAGATATACAATAATTGGTAGGTTGTTAGTATCAATCTACCAACTAAGTAAAGGTAACTTTTTTGCAACAAATCCTGCTGAATGATAAAATATTGTTTTATCTGTATTTTAATAACTTCTGTGAGTCATTATATTCAGTGATACATGCTATTTAAGGGAAGCTAAACCTATAATTTATTTTGCAATCATATAATTTCAAAAAATACCTTCTTACTAAGAATGATAGCTTTTTTACTAAAAATGATAATAGTAATAATAATTTTCAGTGAAGTCTTCCTACCCTACTTATCTTTTGTTTTTGATCAGATTCCCAAGTTAATTTTTTAAAGAAGTACTATAAATAAAAAATTATCATAAAGAAGCTATAACAATCTGTATTTTTGTCTTTTAATTGAAATTTGCATTGCAATCCAATAAATTGTAATAACTTATTTTTAAGCAAAAGTGTTATTTCTCTTTTAAAAGCATTCTGTGAAATACTAATAAAATGATAGCTCATTTTCTGGAAAAATCCATTGATAAATTACAAAATCAACTGTTTTTCAGCATCCAATAATTAGGGATAATTTATAATCTTTTAAAATAATAATGCTACACAAAGTATTCTGTAAGATATTCTAAGAAATATATTTTATGCACAAAATTTTATTGAATAATTTTGCTATCTTCAGAAAATATTTATATATTAAAATTAAGTATTTAAATCTTTAGAAAAGGGATTCTAAAACTTTTAGCACACTTCATGCTTTCTGAGCAGCATTCACAAAATATTACACATAATGGAAAATGATTACACATAAACAATGGTCTATCTTCCTTTTGGGTAATACTAGCACTTCAAACATTTTATATGAGTAGGGTTCTTATAAATTACATAATTTTGAGCCGGGCCGTGGTGGCTCACGTCTGTAATCCAGCACTGGGAGGCTGAGTTGGAAGGATCGTTGCGAGTTCGAGATCAGTCTGGGCTACAAAGTGAGCTCAAGGCCAGCCTGAACTGCACAGCGAGAGCCTGTCTCAAAAAAGACAAAATAAATAAATAAATAAATAAATTACATAATTTTTCATTTTTTTCTTCACTTTGGAACATAGATAATGCTGTGATAGCATTTTCTAATGCTTGCCTTAAATTTCAAAAGCATGTTTTGAAGAATCAATGTCAAATGTAGTAAACATAGAGGTGATAATTAATGTAAGTTAGCAGGAGTAATCTCTATAAACTTAACATATATATATATATATATATATATATATATACATATACATATATATGCAGTGACTTTGGACCTATGATGCTGAATTTTGAAAGATTTTATTCCCAAATTATACCAATAATTATATAATTTATAGAATACAACAATTCCACTTAACAAAATATGTAAGAGAGAATAAAGAAAAGCAAATTTTTGGGGCTGGGGATTTAGCTCAGCAGCATAAGCACCTGCCTTGCAAGCAGGTGGTCGTGAGTTCGATCCCCGGTACCGATAAAAAGAAAAAAAGAAAAAAAAAGAAAGAAAGCAAAGCAAATTTTTAGGTTCATTGACTTGAACAAGATCTCTTTGGAGTAAATTCTGGAAATTTAAATAGCTTTTTAAGTCAAACAAATGTAAAATAAAAAGCATTAGTTTAAAAATCAAATATAAACCTAGAAAAAGAATATAAACCCTAAGTTTAAATCCTGGCATATATGTGAGATAGCAAGAATCATATAAATTCATTCACACTTTCTTCTTTATCCATAAAATATCATATGGAGAAAATATATATGGGCATTAAAATTCTGAAAATAATTTCAGAAAGAATAATGAACATATTACAGTAAATATATATATATATATATATATATATATATAACAATAGTTCAGAGAAAATGTCACTTATAACTAGTTACCTAGGAATAAGTTATTGAGCATCTCTCTTGTTATTTATGCATTACTATTATAGTAGCTCATGTATTCTCTAGGAAAAATAGATATTCTCGGATTTGGATCTTTTTGGAAATGTCCAATCATCCTGTATTTTAATAAGCTGTCTTTGCTTATGTTGACT